TGCTGGGATGTCGGATACCGTCGAGAACTGAGAGTAGGTGTGGAATAGCGTCTCTGTCTGTGGAGGCCGGATGTCAGGGAAGCCTGCATGACGTTCTGAGCGGAGGAATATCGTACCTGTGTTTCTAGACTTCGTGCCTGTTGCCGCAGCTGGGCCCAGCCGGTGTTTCCTGTTGCCGCAGCCATAGCGCCTCGATGCTAATTGTGTATGGCTTGGTGGTTGCTGTACGTTGGTAGACCTTCGATGTTGAGATGTTGTCTTTCGATGGACTCTGGCATGTCCGCGTGTCTGGGACTGTCGGCAGGGACCAGACGCAGCAGGGGAGGAGCTCGGCGTCACATGGACCGTGCACATTGAATGATTATGTAAGTGCCGAAAGTGTTGCACGAGAACTGCAGGTGCGGCGGGTAGAGTCGCATTAAAGTCTGGAGCATCAAGGATTTGCTCATGATGTGCTAGAACGCCATGGAAAAACTCGCTTGTAGAAGGTATTATCACTCGGGCATTCTGTTTGCCTCATTAGATACTTGTTGGCACAAAGTCTTCTGACGAGGGACAAATGGCATGAAACGGGAATTAAGCCTGTGATATCTTTATGCTCAAAGGCAAAAGGGCTAATTGATCAACTTCGAAACATTTGTGCAATATCGCCAGATTCCCTAGATGTCTCCAAAGATTCGAGACACAGAGTTGCATCTACATGTCGATGCCATTGATATCTCGCTCAGTCAAGCTGCTTTGGCTTGATAACGGCCAGCCCCGGTGACAGACTGTGGCTGGAGTCGCTGTGGCGCAGTTCATGACCAGCGACTTCGAAACCCCAAGGCCCACATGCACCCAATCACAGCAGGCCCCGCGCCGGGTCCCGAATTTTTGCGCACAAACTAGGGCAACAGCTTTTTGCCAAACTTTCAAATTTACGATCGATCACCTCAGCCTCTCTCACGACGTGTCGATACTAACCCAGATATCCAGCGCCACCCCCCATATCAGTCAAGATGGTGAGTGAACCCCTTTTGCTCTCCCTGATGGAATTGGCGATCCTCGAATAGCCCGACGCAACTTTCCCGCCGAATCCTCGACACCCCGCGCCCGAATTAGCCCCTTCCCGACGAAAAAAGCGAACACCAGAGGCGGCAGGAGCTGCTTGCAAGGAGCCACATAGGAGAAAAGAGAACCCGTTTCGCTGACGAGAATTCATCATGTCCCAGTCGTCCGGAAAGGTCAAGGCCGTCGCCCTTTGGAGCAAGAACAAGGATGATTTGACCAAGCAACTTGGTGAGCTCAAGACCGAGCTCGGTCAGCTCCGCATCCAGAAGATCGCCTCTTCCGGCAGCAAGCTGAACAAGATGTGCGTTTGATCCCCCTGTCCTGATCCGAGTTGATTGGAGGAATCGTCGATCGAAAAATGAGAAACCAAGAGGACTGACCGGTGAAAATTTCCGCTCTACAGCCACGACATCCGCAAGTCGATCGCTCGCGTCCTTACCGTCATCAACTCCAAGCAACGCGCCCAGCTCCGCCTGTTCTACAAGAACAAGAAGTACGCTCCCCTCGACCTCCGCGCGAAGCAGACCCGTGCCATCCGCCGGAGATTGTCCGAGAAGGAGGCCAGCGCTGTCACCGACAAGGCCAAGAAGCGCACCACCCACTTCCCCCAGCGCAAGTTCGCCGTCAAGGTCAGTAGAGTCGGAATATCTGCCATTCGAATGGAGGCTAGGGAGCCATGAGAGGAGCGATTGACAAAGGCCGCATCATGAGGGAACGATCTTCGACACTCTGTTGAGCGCTACTTCTCATGTTCCCTGGCCGAGATCACGAATGGCATCCTTAGGAAACATTGAGACTGACTTCTTCATACAGTCTGCTTAAATTTAGACCGACCGCTGCTGGGTTAGATCTGGGGATGAGGAACAATGAAAATGGTCACGGAGGCGTAACACGTTTTTGGCACACGGGGATCCCGAATTACTCGATGATGCATTGCATGGTCACGGAGGGAAATTAAGGGTTTATTTGCACTTTTATCATTTCTCCCCCCAGTGCTGCAAAACACGAAATGGATTTCTCTCAAGACGGGTCAAAACATTGGTCAAGCGAAAAACGAAAAAGGATGGGCTTCACAAGAATCCCCCTCTCTTGTTCTTTCCCACCCCTCCTTTCTTGCGTGGTGGGAGGGAGAGGATTCCCTCGGGCGTGTGTGGTGTGAGGTAGCATAGCGCTGCCAAAATGATGGGGCCCAAAGATGTCCCGACTTCAAAAGTTTGCTCTTTTTTTCTTCTTCAAATGTGATGGAGTCCCTATACATTGATATATGACGTTGTGTGACGATTACCATTGCTTAAGGGAAGTAAGCAGACACAGGCCAGACGATTTCCATGCTCAAGCTTGTAGTCACCTCTCATTCGTCCATGTCTACTGTCTATGGCCTATATCCATTTTTGATGTCGACGCCTTAGACTTGATTTCAAGTTGTGTTTCTGCCCTCCCCCATTTAACTGCTTGATATCTCGAGACATGTCTACCTTACGAGATTGGCGTCTCTATCGCGGAATTTCGATATGGTAGGTAGATGACAAGCGCCAATCCGAGAGCCTCCGCCACACTTCATCGCCCTCGAGACTGGCCTCTGAAGCTCACGGTTTCATTCGCAAACTACAGCAAAGAACACCAAGGCACATTGCCTCATGGAACCATGGTTCTGTTCAGAAGATAACACTTCCACGCGATGATATGACATTAGTCGGTGATGAGTGGTCATGCCGTCCCCGTCACCAAAGGCACACCTCTACTTCCTTTTCGCCGAAGGCGATATCGTCTAGAGTCTTCTTAGTGGCAACTACTACTAGAACAATTTTTATTCAGCGCAGCACGCTTTTCCTCAGTAGACCAGATCAAAGCCAGACAAACGCTGCTCCAGCTCCTGTAGTTTCCTGCAGCTTACCCCATTTTCTCTTCCCAGACCTCCATCTCCCTGTGAAACCCTGTGTGGACAATAAGAAGAATCGACCTCGGGATGGGGCAAGTTGCGGGGGAGGGGGCATCCCGCCAACACAAGTACGACCATCTTCTCGTGCCTAGAAAAAGGAAGTAGCAACATGACATCCCGAGGCTTGGCTCCATACAACGTGCAATGCCATGAAATAAGATACTGAATGCCGTGGTGAGGAACAACGGAGGCACGTTTCGAGGGCCGTCTCAAGTTCTTGTCAAATGTGTATAGACTCTACAAAGTCTTTACTTGTCTTAACGTTGAATTAAGACGACAAGGATACTGAAGTGGAATCGCTCACAATGATTGGTTTACGGGTATTGGACGCCGTCTTCTGGCGATGTCATTGAGGCTTCATCCAACGCTCTACCCTCGATGCCTTCCTATGGGTGGAACGGGTCTGGACACCAGGACACAGCACTCGCTCATGGAATTCACAATATTGCCAGTGAAGCGAGGTCATTCCATGGAATACTTTCATTGCTATTCCATCCGTTCCGGCCTAGTAAAGAACAGGCTTCACCCTCACGTTCTGTTACGAGTCTCTCCAGCCATAGATAACAACTCTCGTCGGCAAGGCACATCAAGTCCGAAGACAGCCTGAGCTCAAAGGATTCTTCACGATCGGCACGAACACGACAGACAGACAAAATAGGCCCGCCTTGCCATTCCATGGCGGTTTTGGGTTAACATCAGCATCCACCTCACTTGAGACCCGCTGAACCGCCACCAAACTTGTCGAGCATCATGAACAACGCCCGCAGCCAAGTCCAGGGCATCATTTCCAAGAAGATCCTCCCCAAACCAACGCAAGACTTTCTCCTCAACGCGGCAAATTTCATCATCATATGATGCCTCCCCTTTCGTGAAGCCACAATACAGAATCTCGCCGAAGCATCGCCAGGAGGCAGGAGGGGAGAAAAAGGGGGAAAGGGGCACGAGGGGTAGGGTGCAGAAGGGTAAATCTACCAACTTCACGCCCCCCCGCCCCCCAAGGTACACCATGTCCCTCATCCGAGAGTTCATCGCGTCGGGTATGTCCCTCTACGACCAAAGCGATTCCCCTCTCCACCTGACAGAACGCCTCCAAACTTACATTCACCGTACTACCTCTCTCTCGGAAGATACCGTTCACGAGAGAAAACCTTGTTCGCTCTGATTCGTGAGGAAGGCCGCAGAACGTTTTATTCGTGGTTCGCCAGATATGAATTTTGTCGTCAAAGTCTCCCGTCAAAGTCTCCTACTCCTTGGCTGTCTCGCCAGGATGGCGAATAAAGGCGAAAAGTGGGACGTAAGCTCGCACATAGTCACCTTCTGTACCGATGAATGAAGACTTCGTTTGTAATCTGATCATCACCATGCCACATGACAATCCTATCACATTCACTGTCATATCTAGTACCGTGTAATACTTAGTCACAAGCTGAAGCGATGACGAGACTGGCAAACTATAGACACCACATAGAAAGACTCTCACCATCTCCAGCTCGTATCCATCAACGCCTCAGGAGCACGGAACCAGGACGAAAACCTACGAAAGAAAAGGCAAGAACACTGCTCTGTTGCCTTGCGCGGCAATCGTGGTCATGTCATTCATATGTTAGTAACGCTGCACAAGCCTTCTCCCCCTCCCTAGCTCATACGTGCCCCCGAGCAGAAGGTTGACAACATGACCGGGTCGCTGCCCACTCACCTACTCTGGTCGCAAACCCGGTTTCTGGGGTTGTGATGGCCTGTGATGGCCTACAGGGTGCGTAAGTCCTACCGAGACAGAACATAGATAGCCATCACCGGAATCTCAATGACCCGTCCTTCCCTGAGTTCCATGGCAGGACCGGAAAACCATTTTACCTGTGGAATATGTGCTCCCGAAAGGATCATCTACGAATTGATACAGATCTGTCGTTCAATGATAATATTGGTCTCTGGGCCGAGTGCGGGCATAACCAAGTCCACTAATTTGGAAACAGAAAGATACAACTCGAAAGCCATGGAGAACACCCTCAACATGTTTCGTCAATTAAGCGTCATCCATACGGTATTACTGCTAGTACTGTATTGCTACAATACTAATTCTATCCTCATTGCTGACCGTACCTACCGTGAATTCGTCATGAAAAACAGAATGTTTTCCCAAGCCCACCAAAGTCAGAATAAGTCCAAGTCCCTTGAACTTTTCGCCGCCGCCTTGAACACCGAAGTCTGTTATGCCGTCCTGACCTGATCCATTTCTCCATGTAAACGCCAGTCCGGTATCTTGGAGCCTATAAGGGTATTTCATGAGACGTCGACAAAGAAAAAAGCCATCCGTAGTGTGAGAATGCCCCCCCCCCCCCTCTGAACCACAAAAACCACCAGCGAAGCGATCAACCTTGTCCACGTTGATCACTTACTGTTTCTTCGATCTGCTGTCTTTGTAACTCGACCGCCCTGTGTCTTCTTGATAGACGGAGTAGAATTATCAGCCTTAAGCGCATCCGCGACCTTACGGTGAATCTTCTCATGTCTGCGTTTCTGGTCCAGTCTATGAAAGTCCTTGTCACAGAAATCACACTTGAAAGCACCCTTCACGTTATGCGTCTTTCTGTGTTTCGACAAATTGGACGATTCGCCAAACGCCTTGCCGCAAACCTCGCACTTGAGTGGCTTTTCGCCTGTGTGGGTTCGCTGGTGCATTGCTAGAACATAGTTAGAAATTATTTGGACCCAAGGATATTGGTTTCACTTACTCAATGCACTCTGCTGCTTGAACGATGCTTTGCAATCGGGAAACTTGCAGGTCCAGGGCTTTTCTCCAGTATGAATCCTCATGTGCTGCGCAAGAGACTGCTTGGCAGACAACGGGGTATCGCATATAGTGCACCTGACCGGTTTGACTAGACGCATTATCAGCATACTTGGTCATTGAAGATGATGAGGTCGTGACTTACAGCCGGTGTGTGTCTGCAGGTGACGTTCAAGCTTGCTCTTTTGCGTGAAATGCCCTTCACGCGCACATCCCTCCCAGCAGCATTTGTATCCTGCATCTGTCTTTCCAAGGTTGACGATGTGTCTCTCCTTGCAATGCATCTGCAGAGCGTCATCGTTCGAGTAGCTCATACCGCAAATCTGACCGGCGATTACCCATTGGCAAATGAACACTTCAGCCCCGGGCTTATCAGGGCTGGGCTGGGTTTGTGCAGTGGCCGGAGACGGTCGTGGGGACGAAGACGCCTGGAGCCCTGATAGAGGAGATGTGCTGGGCTCCTTACCTTGGGCAGCATGGGCCGGGTCAGGAAGACCTCCTGGAAGGTAATCAGACTGACGATTCGGCGCCATCAGGTTTGGGTAAGAGTGTTGCGATGCATGGGAATAGTTGGTATGCTCTCCTTCTGGCGCAATAACATGTTGTTCTTGGAAATGGCTAGCCCAATCCTCGACGCCGTTGAGCTCAGCGCCGCAAGGTACAAACCCTGAGCTTGGGTCGGGAATGCAAAAGGAGAAATCAAGTTCACCTTGATGAGCATGCGCTTGGTGAGGAAGCGGGCACCTGGTCGGCAAATTCCGGTTCTCTGTCATACAAGGCCGTATACAGGTTGTCTGAGCGTGTGCATGATCGTTAAGGTGCAAGCCAAGTGCCATCCATCCTATGGGCTCAGGCATGCTAGGATCCTGAAAGTCGATTACAGACTCGAGGGCAGTGTGAAAGAGGTCGGGATTACTCTGAAAAGAGTTGCCCATATTCATTGAATGAGCCATCGACATGGTCATCCCGCCGGCGTGGAAATGACTTGGAGTTGCTGCTTGGATTCCTCCATTTTGATAGGAGCTTTGGGTTGCGTAATATTGAGAAGACATCGACGGCATCGAAGACATCGATGGAGGTAGCATGCCATCCTGGCTGAAAGCGTCCCCAATAGACGCCAGCACATCGGCAGCAGCTTTGTCCTTATCAGAGATGATGTCGTTGGCTGGACACTCGGCGTCTGTACAAAGCGCAGCAGCTTCGTCGCAGTCGTCATCGTCGCAAGCTTGAGCGCACTCTGCATCGGTGCAAACATCGCCAGCTTCACTAGCGCCACACTCGCTAACACATCGATTGCAGTCCAAGCTGCTGCAAGCCGCGGAGGTACTATCATCCTCGAGCTGAGGGCTCGAGTTGGGGGTCGAGACGCCAAAGCCTATGGCCCCCGTTGGTGACATGATGGCATTCGAGCCGAAGCCCAAGGGCATTTGGCCTCTGGGATCGAAGTAGTTGGGTAGTGTAGGCATCGTGGATAGGCTGTGGTGTCTTCGGGCATGCATCGGCATGGTATTCAGGGTGAGAGGGTGGTTGTGGTTGGGTACAGGGTGGTGTTGGTTGTTGCTATCCGGGCCTCTGCAGGCAATATGGTCGAAGTTCAAATCCATACAGGACTCATCGTGCGATACTGGCAAAGTGACGCCACCGGTGAAATGGTCGTTAAGATGTTCCACGTCCAACGGGTCGAGAAAGAAGCCGGAGGCGTGGCCACCGAAGGACGGTAAGCCGTCGTGCTGGCCGTCCATAACTCTGATATGACGATGTTAAGGATCTCTGAATCTTCCATGCGGCTCGGGAGAAGTTCCACGGAGACTGTCGATCGACCGGCAGCTTGGGCCACTGGAGGTCGGGGGGTTCTTGGAGAAGGTGGGAAGAAAAGAGCCGCAAAACTGAGACCCTGGGGATGGAGAATTCCTCCAGGTGTCAGAGTCGGGGAGGGTAGATGTAGTAGTAACGGAATAACGTTGTGGAGGAAGGTCCAGTAATGAATGCCCTGACGAAACAGAACCAAGACTTGGGTAGAAGGGTAATATGAAAGTGGGATGAAAGCTTCAAGGTTGGTACGAAGCGAGGCGAGGCGAGGCGTGACCAGGCGAGTCAAACCGTTGACAAGGCTTGAGGGGCAAGAAGTCGAGAATTGAAGAATTGGATTGGACTGGGCACCACTGGTTCCTCTTCTCAGGACTCCCAGGGACCAAGGGCAACCCGCAACGGTAGGAAGTTCCTGCCCACGTTGTGGGAAGGCGGTGTTGCAGGCGCGCGATGAGCAGGTGCGGTGCGGCGTGAGAACCTTGATGGCCTCTGGCGCGAAAATGCGGCCTCTCTGGCTGGTGACGGAGGGGCTAACCTGCCAGCGTAACACCAGAACCCCTGTCATTGCTGTCAATCACCTTGCCAAATATGCGCTTCATGATTTAATAGGACGTACCTGTCGGTATAATTGAGGAGCGATGGTTGTTGCGCCGGGCTTTTTCTTCCCTTTTTTCTTGTTCGCGATATTGCACTGCAAAATTCACTCAGTCTCTTGAGAATGAGTCTTTGCCGTGTCTGTTCCTCACTTCCAACCGCCCCAAGGTGCCGACTGCCGCTGCCTTATTATACTCGTCAAGGTCGACTGGAGAAGAAGCCCCAAAACCTTAAAGCCGTAGGAAAAACGAGAGGGCCGCCGAGATGAGGCCCTTTCTCCGGTCCTCATGCCCTCGCCCATGTGTCTCTCGAGAGAACTGGCGGGCCCGACTCCAAAGAGACTTCGTCACTTGGCTCTGAGAGGCTGACCACAGGGGTGTGGGTGCCACCGGGGGGGTTTCTGTAATCACTGGCCCGTGGTTGGTACCTGCCCCACCATGTGCCCTTTCTCAGCACATGAGCAGCTCCCCATTGGTTCGGACTGGCTTGCCAGGGTCTGCGTATGTAAGCAGTGTTCAATATCAGATTGCGTGCGTGCCTGTTTATTTGCACTGGAAGACAATATCTCTGAGAATAATACGCAGTAATACCTAAGGTACACAGTAGGTGACGCTAATGGTCAGTGCGCTAGGGACCGTCCTTTATCAACCGCGAGGGGGGCGTTCAAGAGGCAGCAGACCAACTGACGGGTAAGCAAGAGACAAGGCAACATCCGTCAATAGTTCATCCGACTCTAGAACAATGGCAAGCCACTGGGCTGTCAGACACACGGAACAATGACGCGCAATAAAGTTCCGAGGACGACGCCATTGCATGTTTTCACTTCATAAAATCTCCACGATGCCGCCTCAACACCAAAATTGACTTCTCGAAATGCCCCAAGTGGCGTCCGGGTATGGTAGCCAGCCTTTAGGAGCGGTAGATGTCAGCCACACGTGAGGGGAACGCCATTATAGAGCTGCATGTCTTCGTATGCACATCTTCGTATTACCTTGCGAATAGACTTCCGTCTAGAGTCGCCTTGCCATTGATTGCCATACCATGTTTGCGTCGACGAGCTTGCTTTAGATCCCGCGTCGGGAGCTATTGCGAGATCGGCAATTCACGCATCTGAAAGTAGATATCATCTGCTTCGTAGTCAAAGAGGAAAACTCTAAATCATACGCCCGATGCCGCAGGTTCTGCATAGCACGTGAACACAAATTTCTCATCTCATAATGGCTTTTATTTCCATGCAGCCACCGATTTCAGGCTCCGCTAAACTAAACTCCTTCAAAGTCCATCCCATTGTACTCCGGATATATGTTGAATATCACAGTCATCTGACAAAAGCGGCCCAACGTTTTTTGTAATCTGTGCTTAGCAAATGGTATCTGCCACCTCACATGGCCAGCCGACATGCCGCCTAACGTGCCGCTCGCATGCTGCTCGCATCTAGTTGCGAAGGCTGTTGGGTTGCCAGCTATCATCATCATTTGTAACTTTTATTCCCCCTTTCAGGACCAAAATCCGTCCATTCTCATGCCCAAGTTGAATCCCGCAACACCGATTTGGTATAATAACAGACGCTTAATGATGGAAGAGGCGGACATTCTGCTCAACAAACGTAATGCCAAGCTTCTCCGCAGTCTCGAAGACAGCGCCGTCATTCTGGCTGCCTCCGGGAGCTGCAATGTACTTGACTCCGGATCGAGATGCGCGGAAGACGTTGTCGACGAAGGGGAACTGTTTCTTGTCAGAAGGTTTTCACTCGAAGCAGGCACGAACTTTACTCACGAAAGCATCACTTGACACAGCGACATTGGTCAGCTTGCCAAGCCACTCTTCTCTCTCCGCATCAGTAAATGCGGGCGGAACCTCCTCGAAGACAGCCTCGAACATCTCGCGCTCCGCACCGGACTTGGGGAGCTCGCCGCTGACCAACAGATCGATGGCGTTGCTCTTGTCGGGGCGCTTGGTGCCCTTCTTCCACTTGATGCCCAGAACACGGGGGTGGAAACGAAGCCACCAGTTGTCTGCCTTGTCGCCAGCGAGGCGCGTGCAGTGGATTCTGGACTGCTGACCAGCGCCAAGACCAATGACCTGTCCGTTGTAGGCGTAGCAGACAGAGTTACTCTGAGTGTACTTCAGGGCAATGGTGGCGACGGTCAAATCTCGGAGGGCGGACTCGGAGAGGGGCCCAGACTCCTTGGGAGTGATGATTCTGTTGAACGACTTGGGCGCAATCTCGATATCGTTGCGGCCCTGCTGCAGAGTGACTCCGTAGACGGTCCGGGTCTCGGTCTTGGCAGGGACGTAGTCGGGGTCGATCTGGAGGACGAGGTACTTGCCGCCCTTCTTCTTCTTCAGGAGCGCAAGGGCAGCATCCTCGAAGCCAGGGGCAATGACACCGTCAGAAACCTCCTTGGAGATGATGCTGGCAGTGGGGAGATCGACAATGTCACTCAAGGCAATCACGTCACCGAAGCTGCTCATGCGGTCGGCACCGCGAGCACGGGCGTAGGCCTGGGCAAGAGGGGAGGAGTCGATGCCCTCAATATCGTTGACGAAGTAAACCTTCTTCTCGTCGTCGGTAAGGGGAGTGCCAATGGCAGCACCGGCAGGGGAGACGTGCTTGAAGCTGGCAGCGGCGGGCTTACCCAGAGCCTGCTTAAGCTCCTTGACGAGGGGCCAGCTGTTGAGGGCGTCAAGAAGGTTGATGTAGCCGGGCGAGCCCCCGAGAACCTTATAGGGGAGCTCTCCACCACTGACGAAGGCAGCAGCAGGCTTCTGGTGGGGGTTGGCGCCGTATCTCAAAGCGGAGAACTGCTTGCCATCGGCGGCGTATTGCTTGCGGAAGAAGTCGGAAATGGCAGCATCGTAGTCGGCAGTGTGCTCGAAAGCCTTGAGAGCGTAGCGGTTACGGCTTGCCTCGGTGATCTCGCCAGCCTGGAGCTCCTTGAGGAACTCGGCGTAGTCGTTGGGGTCACTGAGAATGGTAACACGGCTGTGGTTCTTGGCGGCAGCTCTGATAAGAGTGACGCCACCAATATCGATCTCCTCGACAGCCTCGGGGACAGTGACATTGACCTTGGCAACAGTATCCTTGAAGGGGTACAGGTTGCAAATGACATAGTCGACCTTGTTGATGTTCTGGTCGGCCAAGTCCTTCTCGTCGGACTCGAGGTTTCTTGCGAGTATTCCGGCGTGGACGGCGGGGTGCAGAGTCTTGACACGGCCAGCCAACATCTCGGGGGCCTTGGTAATGGCAGAGACGTCCCTATCAGAAAAAAAGCCCATGAGCTTCGGGTTGCACGCGTGAAAGTTTCGGCAAGGACTTGCAACTTACTCAACGGGGAAGCCAGACTCCCGGATCATCTTGGCCGTACCGCCGGAGGCGAGAATGCGGACATTCTGCTGGTTCAGGCCCTTGGCCAGGTCCAGCAGACCAGTCTTATCGTAGACGGAAACGATGGCAATCTTCTGACCCGACATCTTTGCTTAGGTGCTCTCGCAACGACAAGTTCTTGGGGAAGGAAGAATTGTTGTTTAGAGGATAGAGCAAGAAGAGGAAGAGAAGAGGGAGGAAGCAGGAAGGATCAAGGGAAACAAAAATTTGCCTTGCGCGATGATGCCTGTGGGTAGGAGGAGAGGTTGCGCAAAATCGGCTTCCGATCAAGGAGGGGGAGGGGCAGGAAGCTACGAAACTTTTTCTTGTTGGCTACGTGATGGGTACGGCGTGATCCCATACGCGTAGGGCGGCAGACAAAGTATTCTCTAGGTAGTTTTGCCCCACGTAGCATCGGCATCGCATCCGCTGGAGGCACGAAAAGGAAGGGGAAACGCTACGTTATGCGACGGCAGCAATGACCTCAACTCCAACCACCTAGCGGCTCGAGTGGGACATTGGATGGCCGCTCAGATATCGTATCATTGTTTTCTACCAAGCACTCACCCATCTTCCCTTCCTCAGGTCACAGGTGAAGAAACATTATGATGGAGGAGAAGCAAACTGTTTCATTGTATGTTGCTCATCCCCCACCTACTGATTCAAGCTCATCAAACCTTGTGGGAAAAAAAGAATTGGAGTTTCGGCCATTGGCCCGTCAACTTTTTTGGAGCATCCGCCTCTCTTTTGAGCCAATGAGCCCCGCCCCCGCCGTAGTCTCAAAATGAGCACAACGGCAAGGGAGGGAAGGTAGGTGGTAGTGTACGACCTGAATGACTGTCACTGCGGTGCACTGGACGGCCCGGCAGGGGTCCATGACTGCTGATGGGCCTTAACACCAACACCGCTAGCGTGCCCCTCGTACCGGGTGGCACAGAGCACTGTGGCAGGGCAATGGAATGGGCGGGAGGCCGTTGTGAACCAGTGAACGTCCCGTCGCAAACCTGGGCGGTCTTGGCCTCATATCGATAGACGAGGTTACCTGACGCGGCCACGCTGATTCTCCGGCTAAAAACCAACAGCCTACCTTTGACACTGCCTTACTTCCTTCCTCGTGACCTTTTTACTTCAAAATAGCTTCGCAACCCGCAAAGCCATCTATCGTAGCTACGAATTTCCAAAACACCGACCCGAGCGTAGAAGCGCATTGCGACAAAAACTGACCGCATCACCTCCGAACCGCACCTTCCCGGGACCCTGCTCGAACACCTTACGTACATCCGGCCCCGAACACCTCCGTCCCCCGACCTCACCCCGTTCTCCCCCGAACGACTCGCGCCGAAACGACCTCGCCACTCCGCGCGCGCACCACCACCACCTCAGCGATCCTATAACCCTAGATACCATATCGCAATCGCAAACTATCCGAACTCTCCTACAGAAACCGTAATGGGCTCTGTCTGCGGCAAGGAGAAGGGGGACAACTTCGACTCCCCGGGTCGCCCGCTTGGCACCGCTCCCCCGCCCCAGCCCAAGACCGCGCCGATTCCTGCCAGAGTCGGCGGTCCGCCACGGACACTGGGCGGTGGTAGCGGTGGCGGCGCATCGGGACAACAATCGTCTGCCGATGCCGCAGAAGCGCGGCGCAAAGCCGCGGAGGCAGCCGAGGTGAGATTCACCTGCCATCTCCCCCCCCTCTTCTCACAATACTGCGCGAATAAACCTACTGACACTTATGTCCCTCAACAGGCCCGAGCAAAAGCCGCAAATAAGTCCACCGGGAAGCTCTCCTCGCAACTGAACGCCCAGAAGAAGCAGACTCAGAGCGATTTGCTCAAGGACGCGAGCACCCAGCAGCTGAGACAACGTGATGCCGATGCCGCTGCGGAGGCTAGGACGTACAATTAAAGCCAAGATACGTAGTAAAGGGGGAAGTAGAGAGAAGCGGGGTTAGCGACTTTTCTTGATGAATTAGATAATGGATTTGGGTGGACAATGTTCGTTGATAATACCTCTTCGTTTTGGTATTTGGAGCTTGGTTTGGAGTTCATACATTGCTGGCGTCTAGGTTGATCTAAGTCATTAGTTACTACATTTCTTCATTTCGCTTTCTCAAACTGCGCTTCACTCTGGTGCTATTGATCTCCCGCGGCGACTGCTCTAATTATTATCCTTAAAAAAATCAAGTGCACATTAAGAACGGACATCAGCACCAGCGTTATCATTGACTCCTCTGCGCCCCTGCCCTATTGCTACCATGGCATTATCTGATATACTACAAGAACTCGGGCAATTTACACGACATTATAACGTCCAGATGCGGGAGCACGGCTGTCGGCCGTAGC